TTTTCATTTATTTGGGGGAAAAGTAGTTTTAAAGAAGAATTATAGTCTGTCTTCTGAATGATAAAGCAGTTTAACTAGCATTAAACACAGCTGAAATTTTGTAATGACCAAACCTCGGCTCATCCAAATCCCCGATAGCATTAACTTACTAGAATTGGGCTGTAAATTTGATTAGCCTTACGGCAGACATGAGACACAAATGTTCTTCCTTATACAGTCATACTAAGTGGCTGCAAAAGAAAATGACAAGGTGGCATAGAGCGGCACATCCAACCTTTTCAAGCTAGGGACAAGCTCCAGCTCACCCAGCTTTCAAATCCACATAAATACAGGGCAATTTCATGAATTGTGATATAACATGAGGATTACATATGGTGAGGTGAGGAGGGATTTAGCAGCTGCAGTCTTCCTATAAATCATCCAGAAGCTTTTCTTCATAGTTTAAGTCTTTTGATTGACATTTTCCATGTAAACTACATCGCTGAACCATAGTTTCTGTCTTTGCCTGTATAATATGGTGCTTTTTTTATATATTTCCATTACTCATCCACTGTCCTCTACCATGAAATTTGATGCTGTAACTCCTGCTGTGTTAATATTTTACATTGAACCAATCAGAGCATGGGATAAAAATTTTTCTTTACACAAGTTAAAGCTTATAGAGGCATTCTAGGGCAGATTTTTAGAAGTTAGAGTCTGGGACTAGGAGGAACAGTAATACAAAACTTTAAACGTCAAAAGAGTTGCAGCAACTTCTCTGGCGGGCTGAGAGTGTGTGCCACAGCACGATTTCCTACAGTGGCTACACAGCCACTGCCACCCACAAACCTGCTCCCAGGTTCCAGTGCTGCCAAGTGCCATACACAGTCGCTCTGCCTCATCCTGGCTTCCGCAGCCACCGGCACCCTGAGGGCCGGGAAGCCCATACCTGCCCACACGGCAGGGAAGGAGTTGTGCACAGGGGGTGCCATCCCGGCTCGCAAGCCAGCCACCATGCATCTGGTGCACCAAGAGTACATTCCTCCTGCCAGGCCAGCAGTTGCATAGTTTTGCTGTTATTGTTGTTAATTTACTTTGGCTTTATTTTAATTTCTTTTACTAGGTTGTTCTGATAACACATTTCTGGCATAGCTTTATATTCCTATCACCTGGTTTTGTTGTCAGTTGGACACAGTCCCATTTGGAGTCAAATTGTAAAATGAACCCTGATTCAATGATGGATCATGCTACTTATTAAAAAAAAAAAAAAGATAAAACTCAAGCAGTTTGTTAGTTACAGAAACGAATTTCTAACATCAAGAATAAAACCACAGATATATACAAATGGAAAATAAGAAATAGTTTTTGGTAAAGAGAAATGGAAACATGGGAAAAATGCCCATATGAATTTTGAGATCCAGTATTCCTTTTTATGTCTTAATTAGATAGTTTATGCAGTGGTTGTTTTATAAATACATATTTGACCTTACTAATGGTGATTTCACAATACCCCTCAAACAGTGCAGCCCAGCTGAGAACCACATGATGCTCAGCCATGTGCTACACAGTTTAGGAGGTAAATGATAACTGCTGTTTTTTCCTTGATATTTTGTAAGATTTCTTCCTCATACTTGGTATTTTGTAGGACTTGGACACTATAACCAAGGTCCGTGCATGTTGAGAATTAAATCTTTTAATTGTTTTAATTAAGGTGCTTCAATTTATCTTGTAATCTTCATTTCATGGCCCATCCCAGTGAACTGTGTAACAACAGTAACTCATGACTCCTGAAGGGTTGAGAGATCTGTCTTCTTGGGCCTGCCAGCTGGCTGAAACTGCCCACACAGGTGCAGGAAGAATCCGTGGCATTTCTGGAGCTCACATACTGTCCTTAAATGCTGTGGCACAGATGCAGCATGCTGCATGGAATTGGCCAGTGTGCCACCGGTTGGGTGGCTCTGATCTGAAGTTTAAATTTCCCTCCTCACCATCTGTCCTGACTTCCCAAACAAAGCAGTTGTGCCTCCTGATGGCTTTATGCCTTCATGGGAACTGCTAAAATAAGCCAGCTCTTCAAACACCTGTTGAAGAGTCCTTTTTAAAATCCTCGTAAGTAACTACATGTAATGACAACACACCTTCGGACTGTCTGATAGAGATGTGAAATAGCGGGGCCTCAGTGTCAGTAACTATTTTTCTATTCCCTCAGTCTGTGGTCTCGAACAAGCAAGTGGCTTTGCCAAATTATAGGTTTGTTCTTTTATTCAATATTGTACCTAAAAAACTTTTAACCAAATTGAAAAAAACAATATCTTTACTGTTATTACTGAGAGTACCTTTTAGTAGCATTCGCTTGTCAGCTGGCTGTGAGTGCAGATGTTCCCACTCATGCTACAGCAAGCAAGTGGTTTGCTTCCACAGACCTGCTTCATACAGGCAGACAACAATGGAAGGAGACACTTGCTTGGGGGAACTACCCAAGATGACAGTTGATTCTCAGGTCACTCTGTGGGAATTTACACACCTACAATAAAAGCTTTGTAGACCTCAGACATCTTGCAGGCCATCATCTCCACTCTTTCCCCAACTGCCAAACAAAATACTGCAAAGACTTGAACGTATGGATAAACAAACAGCCCAGTTCTCTACATTACTGGGCTTCAACAGATTTCCACACCTGCTTACCAAGAACTCCTCTCACTGATTCTCTCACCCTAAAAGAGAGGAGACACCTTCCAATGCTGTGAGGAAGTGAGAGGAAGAGCCTGTACCTTCCAAAGCCTTCTAAATATGTATGTTGTTGAAATATTTCCTCCCAAAATGAGATGTACATGGAAACCCACACTAGGAAACAATTATAATTATCATCAAGGATTGGGGATGATGATGTGATCCTCAGTACCCTTGGAATGTATCAAAGAAATTGATTTACACCTCTCAATGTGAAAGACATTCTTTCGCAGAAACATTCATCCTGCACATAAAAAACCTTCAGATTTGAACAGGGTAAATCTTTACCACAGCACATCACTTTTCATGCAAGGCTTTGTAAAGATCTTAGACGCAGCACTTTAAATGTGCACTAAACCTCAAGAAGGGCTTGCCACATTCCTAGATTATAATGTCCTGCAGCCCATCACAGCCAGATGCCTCAGAGGCCGAACACCACCTTTCCCAACAGTATGAAAACCAGGACATTCGTCAAATTTTACTTCAAGGATTCCTTTCAAGTTCAACTCTTAGGCTCCATTTCTCCAGGGGTCTCCGAAAGCGTTTCTTTACGCAGTGGCGTTGCATCCAAGGAGGGTGTGGGAATTCGCAGCAGTGCTGTCAGGCTGATCCCCAGACTAGTGTTACACTATGACAACGTTTCCCTGTGGCTACTCCCTAAATTTTTTGTGAAGGAAATGTTGCCCTTTCCTATTGCCCAAGTTCCCTATTTACCCTACAGTGCTTCTGAAACCTTGTTCCAGCCATGGATATCTTTTCACTACTTAAATGCCCATATACCATTAACCTCCTATTTCCACAGAACAAAATCCTTCTGGTAATCCCCTACGTAGTTTTTCCACCTTGGCCGAGGAGTTAAATGTGATATACTTTCTAGTCTACAGCTTTTAAAATGGATCTTAGATCAGATATGCTTCTTGGACATTTATGAATATAAAAATAGTCAAGTTCAGGCCTCGGTGACCTTCCCTGGTTATATTAAAATATTAAAGGTAAGCACATGCAGTAAGTGTTCACAGGACTGAGACTACGGGGACATAGTACACTGCAGTCACAGTGATAACTTGCCTTACTAATTTAGAAAGTGTAAACTTGACATTCAAATCACAGGCTCTTCCTAAAAGTGCAGGGTATGCATGCAAACCAAAAGATTTTTTATTAGATATTATTTACTAATATTTGATGATGTTGGCAGTATGCCAATCAATTGATTTTTGGCTAAACCAACATATTTCTCCTATCATAAACTCCTATCATTAACAACCAAACAAAAAAAGCCCAGATTTACTCTGCTTTACAGAAGCAGAGTAACATCTGACGTCTTGTCCAAGGAGTTTCAGTGGTTAATAGTACAAGCACCCCACTCAGATTACAACTGTACCAGGGAAGCTAAGAGTCATATTGTTCAATGGCACCATCTTCAGTCAACTACAAAGCTAATTATTACCTAGCTTTCAGAAGAAGTCATATTCCTCTGTCCTAAGTCAGGAAAAAGTGTGGTATCAGTGCCTCTGGACTCACATGGTACAGTCTCAGAAAATTTACTGTTGCAGCAAAAATATTAAGTGTATGGGTTTCCCTCAAAAAAGGGAAAATCTCTATACATTTTGTCTGCTTTAAATTGAGAAAAGTATCTGAAAGAGAAAAATGTTGATTAAATGCAATCACTTATGGGAACGTCTTGACTTGGTTTGTTTTTCTTAGGGGACTGATTGGTTTTGATTAATTATTTGTGAAGTATTTGGAGATTCAGACCATATCATGCAGCATTCTGGCCATATGAATGCTCAGAAAGATCCCTTAAATTAAATAACAATTCCAAAGTTTGGAATTAACTTCTGTCACTTTGAAAATAGTACTTACTGCCTTAATTCCTTATATTTCTTTATGCTTTAAAACTAGAAGCGTTAAAAAAAAAATTGAACCTGATAATAGAATTAGAGCCCATCCTCTTCTTAGGTGAGAATATATATACTTGTGGCAATCTAATACCATAAATAAATTACATCATCTGAAAGTGAATTTTAGCTCAAAATGAAATTATCAGAACTTTTTTTTGTGAAGTATAATTTTAGAATATTGTTTCAGTTATTAGTTTAACAGAAATGTATAGCTAATTGCAAGCCACCTTCTCCCCACCTTCCTTCCACGCTTTCAAAATTAGGCTAGCATATGTAGGCACCTTGTTCTTACAGTTTAACCTAAGAGAACTGAATGAATGTGGATCTAAAAATAGCTTTTTCATCCTTTCGAGGCTGATGCGTATTTCACACTTTGTGTTTCCTTTTCAGCTGACCCCCTGGTTGGAAGCATTGCCACTCAGTACATGACTAACAGAGCAGAGCACGACAGAATGGCCAGACAGTGGACCAAGCGATACGCCACATAGGAACCTACTCTAGGATTTGCTGGACCTGTGCAAGCACATTCACTAAGTGCATCAATAGCCCTTCCCTTCATTCTTATTTTTTATTAAATTTTGAACCATTTTGTGACAAAAGGTTGTCCTTACTTTCTTTTTTTGTTTTATTTTTATTTGTTCTGGGGTTTTTTGTTCTGTTAACTTGAAAGTTGTTTCCCTCAAATGTAGACAGGGAATTTTGGTTATCAGTGCAAAGAATGTTGGATCTGTAATAGTATAGAGCTTTATCACAAAGCTTTGTATTAATGTGTGGGATTGTTTTTTTTTTCTTTCATGTGGTTTTGGGGAAAAAAAAAATTCAGAATTATATCTCATTTCTACTTAAATGTAGTGTTTAGGGTTATTTTTTTGTACTGAAGTCTTTAATGGTGGGTGCATGCTACTGGGAACAAGTTTTGTATAAAAGCTTAAAATCAAGAATCACTGTGCATTACTAAGACTGTGTTTATCACTAGCCTTCTGTTTCCCACACAAAAGGCTATTGCATTGAACAAATTAATATGTATTTTGATTTACTTAAAAAACAACAAAAAAAAAATGCTTGTAAATTTCTTAGGGACCTGCCACTTTTGACTGTGGATCAGTTGATGTACACTTGTATTATTAAAGCACTCAATAAAACACTGTGGCTGATAAATGCACTTCTTGCAAGACAGTGCTTTTGCATTTGTGCAGTATAGGCTGCACAGTCCTCACATAATACAACTGCAGGTTAAACAACTATTTTTAGACCTGAACTATTCACTTCTCCTCAACAATGCATTTCTTAACTCAGAATTCTTCATTGTGTATATCTGTCACATACAAACATTTTCCAAATGTTAAGGCCTTTCTTTCACGTGCCTATGCTCAGCCTTGCTATTCAGAAGCCTCATGCTACATCTTTTATACTATGGCTTCACTTTATCCATCTTGTTACATTTAAAATAGTTGGCTATAAAAATAGCCTTGCAGTGAAAGCAGAATACTGATGTTGATTTTATACAGCAGGCCTCATTTTGCCTTTCTCCAAGCTCTTTGACTGTAAAAGCTACTGTTATTTAAAAAAATAAATGAAGGTTTTCGATGGGAAAATTGAGCCCATTGCTCCAATCATTCCCAGCACGTTCAATAGTAAGGGTATTTCTATTCAGATTTGACCTTCAGGCTAATTTTAGATATGCAGCCATGGAAGGAAAACTTGTACTTGGCTAAGGAAATGTGTGGGTGTTGTGATTTAGAAAATATATACTGTGATGCTGATAGCTAAATGTTCTTTGTGTTGCAAGGCATATTGGAAAATCCCTGTCTCGTATAATTAAACGTTACAGATGCTTTATACAGTGCTTGCCTGCCCTCTCCCCTCTCTCCTTACCTCTTATGTTTAAAGAAGATCTTATCTTTAAAAAGATACATTACAACAGGGTCAGTATAAACACACAGGGAGACCCAATCCCATTATACTCCAACCCAGTTCAACTGTCACGAAAACTAAAGCAGTCAAGGTGACACCATAGGGCCTCTACACCCACCACTGCACTACTCAGCATTTCAAGGCTCTTTTGTTTTTCTCTTGGCCATTTGCTAACAAACTGAACAGACATTCAACTCCAGTCCACTGGTGAGTTGTCCTCTGCATGAAGAAAAGCTGAACATTGATGTTGTTGTAGGTGGTCTGATAACTACCACCCCAAGAACCACAGGGCTGTCAAAGAAATAATCAGATTCTCTTGATAAGAGCAAACAGAGAATCTTCTGGTGTTTGTAGAAGCCAACTGTTTACAAGCCCAGCCGTACAACATTTTGAGGCCAACAGATCCTCAATACAGACATGAAAGAACAACGATATTTCAAAAATAAAACACAAAACCTAGACTTCTCTGAGCCAGAACCACCTTCTCAGGACAATGCTGGTATATGTGCTTCACTTGTGAGTTGCCTCCACCATACAACTTGCCATGGAATACTCCAGATCTGAAGAGAACCTTCCTGCTGTAAAAGTACAACAGAGGGGTAAAAGGAATTAAAAAGAACAATGCACCCTGCCCTCTACAGTAACGGCATTGCTTCTCCTCTTATGCCAGCTGCTGAAGAGATTCCTGGCATAAAAGACCTGTATCCCCTGAGACAGCAATTAATGGGCAATTTTAGATTTCTTATGAAGTACTTTCGGAGTCTGTCACACTGCAACCTTTATTTACACTCAGCTGAGCACAATGCAGTGATTTCCCAGGTACATTTTAAGCCTACTTGATAAAGAAATCTTTCATTTCCATTATCCTGCTATTGTTTTTCTTTTGCCAAAATATAAAGAAGAGCCTATATTCTTCTCTAAAGAAGATGTAACTGAAAGATAGCTGAGATAACCTTGGAGGGGGAATCACAGAATTCTCAATAAATATCTATTCTCGGATCATCAGTTCTCACTTGCTTTTCTTACCAATTAAAAGCTGTGCAGTTTGAATTTGCAGGTAAGTTGCCCTCTGTGTGAATCTGTACAGTCACATTGTCCTAGGTAATATGAAACTACTGCCTTAATAACCATGGGGATCCCAAAGAAATAATCATAAAGGATCAACCTACGCTGATTAAAGCAGATGCAGAGTCTTCTGGCATCTGCAGGAACCAAATGTTTGAAAGTCTGGCCATAAAACATTCTCCTCTATTTGCAAATCTGCTCTATTTGCCTCCCAAGTAATTCGTTTTCTTCATGGGCTAAACCTGGGATATATGAAGCATTATTTGAAACCTGCTGCTGTCGCTTAGAAGAAATGATCCATCCCCAACACAATTCAGTCTGCCAGTAGAGGCACAGTGAACCATTGGCATGGTCTCTTTTTCTCCTTTTTTTTTCTCCTGCATCTAGAAAATAGTGCACATTATTCTAGTTCCCCTTTGCTTTTCAGATCCTCTCCAAATTTAACTGATTCCTGCTTCCTCTGTTATGATAAATCATCTTTTTAATTTCTTCTAGCTGGTGAAATCCGCATGCTGCCCTCATACAATTGGGTACAAAGATAATTCAAATGACTTGCACATATTAAAACATTCAAGAGCATACAGTTGTCCTAAAACCACATATAAAGGCCACCAATTGAGCAAATCTCAGCATTTTTCCAGAGACACACAAATGCTAAAACTGGGGTTTGTTTTATAAAGACATCTTACATCTGTTCTGAATTCAATTGCAATATCAAGTAAACAATATTTAATTTCCAGTAACCCCAGCTAAATGTCACTGTCCCATACCCTCTGAGTTCAACTCAGATGAAGCAAAAAATCAGGGAACTCTCCAAACTGTATTCACTCATTCATGGATTACTGAAGTGGCCTTCGCATCCCACTGCCCAAGTGACCAGCTGATTTCCCTCTTTAGAAAATTGCAGAACAACAATGCTTAAATCAAGGTACCTAAAACCATCCTGTATTTTCATAGACAGCATTTCCCAGCTGCTCCAGGAGTGAGCAGGGCCATAACCCTTTTGATTGCATGCATTGTGGGTGATTGCAGCCAAACAGTTAAATTTCATTACAACCAGCTGCTGTGCCATGAATAAGGCAGGAGTAATTCCTCTTGAAAGATCTTTGTTCAGGTTTTCATATTGTGAGCTGCAGATGGCTACACAGTCATATCCTATGCCCAAGTGATGGGCAGCAGCTCAGAGCCCTTCTTTCTTGCTATCCTATGCAATGATAGCATGTGACTGTGGAACACCAGGGCAGTTGGGGGACCCATAAACCCCAAAATTGGATTCCTCTTCAAAGCCCTCTCAACCTTTTAAATTCTGTCTTGACATGTACTCTGGGTGCTTTGCATGCTCTAAACACTCTTTCAGCATGACGGTACAGTGTGCTTTAATCCTTCCGACTTATTCCTCCTCACTCACCCATTCCTTCTCTCTATATGCTTTCTTCTTCTTGACTGATTTATTACTCACAGCTGAGAGACCACACAAGACACTGATCCCAGTTCAAATGGCTCTTCCAGAAGTTGCCTGAGCATAGTAACCCTTGTCCCCCAAAGTGTCCCCAGGCCCCTCTCTGCTCCCCCTTGCCTCAGGCAATGCCTATTAGAACAAGGAAAGCAGATGTGTCTCCAGTGCAGTAGGAAGATGCCTTCAGACAGTGCAGCATCTCCCAATAACTCCAACTCCAGTGTTAACCTGGGGTCCCTTTTCTCCTTTCCAGTTCTCAGAGACTTCTCTTGTCTCTGAAGATGGACATCTTACCCCAGGCCCAATGTGCCTGCCTGCATTTTGAGTTGGGCAAACTGTAGCAAAGGCTCAGTGAAAATTCTGGCACCTCCAAGGTTCAAATGTCCAGCCTTGGCAGCCACGATTCCTGCGGAGCCAGTTCTGCCTGCTGGTTTTCCATCCTCAGTTGGCCTTTCTTCTCTTCAGCTTTTCATTCCCTTTCATTTCTCCTCCGGTCCTTTCCTTCATGACATCAATGCTGTATCTTGATGCTTCCTTCTCCCTGCTTCCCTCACCTCAGTCACGGCTCTGTTCGTGGTCATAAAGAGACCACATCACTAACACTGGGCTTCCCAGAACTGCTTGAAATCCCCTAATTTTTAGGTCTTAGAAGCAAGGAAGAGCTTTGTGTGAATTAAGTACTTCCTCATTGTGCCATGCCTGGCACTGGCTATAAACTAAATCACTTCTCCCACACACGTCATTAGCAGTAATGAAATCCGGACTGGCCTCCTTAGCATGGCATCCATATGCAAATGAATTTCCTCAGCTCAAACGATCTGTACAGCCGATGCGTGGCTGCTTGGGATGCCTCCAGCAGCCTCTGTCGGGTCACAACTGGAATATGTTTGGGGACTACTGTTTACCAGGAAGAGTTTTATGATACCTTTAAATCCATCATTCTGCACCCTAATTCCATCGTGAACTTTAATAGGTACTTGCAGCACTCTGGGATAATGAAAAGGGCAAAGCAAAACATCCCTTTCATGTCTACTTTGATTGTGAAAGAAAGTAGTCATGAACTAATGGAAGGTTGAAACAAAGACAAGGTTACTAAAACATCCTAATCCCTTGCCAGTCCTAAATTAGAAAAATCCCACTTCACGTAACAGCTTAATAAAAGATGTATTTACTTCCATAGACCTTGCAGAACAAATTCCAAAAAACTCACTATCCAGATGTCCCAATAGTAAACGTGGATGATCAGATCATGCATTTCAGGAGAAGGAAATGCATCCACTAGGAAGAGCTTTCCAGCACCCTCATCTCCTCACCTCAGTCAGGCTGCATGCAGGACTGCCTCCTTGACAGTCCCTTGGGAAACAAGGGCTGGAAACAAGAACCTCGGGTCATTCCTTATTGTCACTGCTCCTCAAATACACTCACTCACAACAGGCATTTGTTGCTGCAGAATCAGTGCTGGGGTCCCCTTTTGTGTCGCTGAGGACCTTGGGGTCAGGAAAAACAAAGGGTCACACTTCAGTTTCTGTGAAATGCCTCCTTTCTTTGCAGTTGACTCATACCCTTTGTAAGGCCCTGAATGGAGCCTCTTACGTGAATGGGGCTCCTACCACACAGATTTCAATACAGCCCTGCTCCTTTCTTCACTTGTCATAAACCTGGCAAAGAAAGTGCTTTGCTCATCACACTTGGGAAACACCTTGCACATCTTTAAACTCTTCCATTTA